TCCTAATGCATCATGTGTTGCTAGTTTCTACATTCCTAATGTATTTCTTAATATTTTTTTTCCCGCTTGTCTTTCATATTTCTTATGATGTGTTATTTGTTTTTTTATGAAGAATATGAAAATTCCCCAGTATTCAGTTGGACTCAAGATTAATAAAGATGATCTATGTCTTCTGGATAGTGCTACAACACACACTATTTTAAAAGATAAGAGATATTTCTCTTATTTAGTAATGAAAGAAGCGAATGCTAATACAATATCCGGTAGTACAAGATTAATTGAAGGTTCTGGAAGAGCCAATTTATTACTACCAGGAGGAACAAATTTGGCTATTGATGAAGCACTATATTGTAGTAAATCTCAAAGAAACTTATTAAGTTTCAAAGATATTCGCCAAAATGGCTATCATATTGAGACTACAAATGATGAAAAGATTGAATATCTTTATATTACTACAATAATGTCCGGTAAGAAATATGTGCTTGAAATGTTACCTGCTCTTTCCTCCGGCTTATACTACACAAGTATTAGCAGGATTGAAACACATGCCATAGTAAACGAGAAGTTTACTAATCAAGATAATTTTATTATTTGGCATGACCGGTTGGGCCATCCTGGTTCTAATATGATGCGTAAAATAATTGAGAATTCACATGGACATGCAATGAAGAATCAGAAGATTCTTCAATTTAAGGAATTCTCTTGTGCTGCATGTTCTCAAGGAAAATTAATTATTAGACCATCAACTATTAAAGTTAGGATGGAATCCCCTGCATTTCTGGAACGTATACAGGGTGATATATGTGGGCCCATTCACCCTCCATGTGGACCATTCAAATATTATATGGTTTTGGTAGATGCATCTACAAGATGGTCACATGTGCGCTTACTATCAACTCACAATATGGCATTTGCGAGATTGTTGGCTCAAATAATAAAGCTAAGACACAATTTCCAGATTATGCAATTAAGACAATTCGTCTTGATAATGCTGGTGAGTTTACATCTCAAGCCTTTAATGATTATTGTATTTCAACTGGATAACAATTGAGCATCTGGTTGCTCATGTTCATACACAAAATGGTCTAGCAGAATCATTGATCAAACACCCACAATTAATTGCTAGACCAATGCTTATGAGAACAAAACTTCCCATTTCAGTATGGGGTCATATTATTTTGCACGCAGCAGCACTTGTGCGGATAAGGCCCATAAGTTATCATAAAGTCTCCCCATTGCAATTGGTTTTTGGTCAGGAGCCAAATATTTCCCATTTTAGGATCTTTGGTTGTGCGATATATGTTCCAATTGCTCCACCACAACGCACAAAGATGGGTCCTCAAAGAAGGTTGGGGATATATGTTGGATATGAATCTCCTTCTATTATAAAATATCTAGAGCCGATGACTGGAGATTTATTTACGACAAGATTTTCTGATTGCCATTTTGATGAATCAGTATATCCAACATTAAGGGGGGAAAATAAGCAACTGAAAAAGAAGATAGATTAGAATGCATTATCACTGTCTCATTTAGGTCCTCGAACAAATCAATGTGAACAAGAGGTTCAAAAGATTATTCATTTACAAAATATTGCAAATCAATTGCCAGATGCATTCACTGACCTACCAAGGGTGACTAAGTCACATATTCCAGCTGCTAATGCTGATATCCCGACAGGACAATTAATTAAAGCAAATGAGTCTAAGCCATACTTGAAACGTGGTAGACCAATCGGTTCTAAAGATAAAAATCCTCGGAGAAGAAAAGGAGCAAGTGATCAAAGTGAACATAACACAGAGGTAGTGGCTCAAGAAGAGTCCCAAGACGTAACAAATGATAAGACCTTAGGAGAGGTCCAGGAACCTGAAAATAATGAAATGAAGAGATACTAAAAAGTTATGTCTCAACCGGAAAAAGATGAAACCGAAATAATATTGTTATCGATAACATTTTTGCTTATAATGTTGCTGTTAAAATAAAGCAACAAGATGAGGATCTTGAACCAAAATCTGTCAATGAATGTAGACAGAGAAATGATTGGCCAAAATGGAAAGACGCTATCCAGGCAGAGTTAACTTCACTTGGAAAACGTGAAGTCTTCGGACCCATAGTTCGAACACCTGAAGGCATAAAGCCAGTAGGGTATAAATGGGTTTTTGTGCGAAAACGAAATGATAAAAATGAAGTCGTTAGATATAAAGCACGACTTGTGGCACAAGGGTTTTCCCAAAGGCCTGGAATTGATTATATGGAGACATATTCTCCTGTAGTGGATGCTATCACCTTCAGGTATCTCATAAATATGGCAGTGCAAGAAAAACTTGATATGCATCTAATGGATGTTGTTACAGCCTATTTGTATGGATCATTAGACAACGAAATTTTTATGAAAGTACCTGAGGGATTTAAAGTGCCAGAAGCATATAAAAGTTTTCGAGAAACTTGTTCAATAAAGCTTCAGAAATCTTTATACGGATTGAAACAATCAGGTCGTATGTGGTACAATCGCCTGAGTGAATACCTGTTGAAAGAAGGGTACAAGAATGATCCAATTTGTCCTTGTGTCTTTATAAAAAGGTCTGGATCTGAATTTGTTATAATCGTCGTGTATGTTGATGATTTAAATATCATTGGAACTCCTGGGGAGCTTCCAAAAACAGTAGACTGTTTGAAGAAAGAATTTGAAATGAAAGATCTTGGAAAGACAAAATTTTGTCTTGGTCTACAAATTGAGTATATGAAAGATGAAATATTTGTCCATCAATCCACACAAAGGTTGATCTCAGACATACTATTTATTTACAAGTGGAGGTACAACCATATCATGACGTTCGACAAAACAAACTATGATTGCTACTTCTTCAAATCATACAAAGATAATAGCCATTCACGAAGCAAGTCGAGAATGCGTTTGGTTAAGATCTATAACTCAACACATTCAGCAAACATGTGGTCTTTCTTCGAAAGAGAATATTCCAACAATATTGTATGAAGACAATGCTGCATGCATAGCTCAATTGAAAGGAGGATATATCAAAGGAGATAGAACAAAACACATTTCACCGAAATTCTTTTTCACTCATGATCTTCAGAAGAATGGTGAAATAGATGTACAACAAGTTCGTTCAAGTGATAATTTGGCTGATCTGTTCACTAAGGCGTTACCAACCTCAATATTTGAAAAGTTGATATATAAGATTGGAATGCGTTGTCTTCAAGACATTAAGTGATTTTTCATCAGGGGGAGTAACTACACGCTGCACTCTTTTCCTTAACCAAGGTTTTGTCCCACTGAGTTTTCCCGGTAAGGTTTTTAATGAGGCAGCAAGCAATGCATATTATAAATAACTATGTACATCCCAATATTTTTTTTGTAAGTTTTTAATGAGGTACATTATCTTACATGGACATCCAAGAGGGAGTGTTATGAATAGTTTGTACATTGGATGCTACATTGGATACCCATGTTGTGAATAACTTAAAGAAATTTCCTATTTTATGTCCATCATCTTTACATTTTATGCCTATAAAAGGCCATGTAATTGCAATGGAAAAATACACCAAAGTGAAAAGAAAACACTTCTCCCTTCTTTCTATCTCTTCTTATTTACATTTTACTACATTACTTTTATTTTATTACAACAATGGATTAATCTGACACAAAACCAAACTAATCCATTCAAAAAAGAGATTTTTACCTCCTATAATAAAGGTTAGCACCTTATTTATTTTAAATAAATACTATTTTAAAAAATTATATTCTATAGATACCTTTTAATGTTTATAGCAAAATATCTTATTTTGGTTACCTCCTATCCCTAAGCCACTAAATACGCTAATCAGTTACACTATTTTCTTTCTCTTTCTACTTTGATACATGCTATTCTCTTTCCCTAATCCCTGAAAATACGATGCTCAAATCTCAAAATTCCTCTCACCCACATCACCTACCATTAGTTTACTAAAAATATTTTTTCAGGTACCTAACCCCATATGCGGTGGCAGCAACTGCGGCTTCAACCTAACCTACGGTGGCTCCAACATAGAAGCAAGTCTCTCACAAGACACTTTCACACTCTCCACTGACGTCGTGCCTTCATAAACCTTTGGTTGTGTACAAAAGGCCACCGGCAGCTCCGCTCCACCCCAGGGGCTATTAGGTTTGGGCCGAGACCCATTGCAGTTTGGAACTCAAGGACGATGCCTTATTAGATGGCTTGCAAGAAGACATATTTTGATTAGATTCGACAGATATGATGACTATGTTCTTGCAGCGGCTAAATCTGTTAACTACTATGTACAAGATGCGTGGGAACAGTGAGATTCAGGGTTTTTGCTCGACGGCAGATTCGCCAAAAATTAGGGTTTGTTCTTGAACAAAGACGACGAAGTTTGGGGCTGAGCAACTTGATTTTCTGTTAATATATTTCAATATATTTTCAATATATCACATTATATTTTCATGTATTTCATTGTATTCATTGTCTTTTTTTCCATTGTATTTCAATGTATCCCACTGTATTCTATGTATTTCATTGTATTCACTGTCTCGCTATATACCATGAATGTATTCATATGTTTTTTTTAATTAGTATAATTTATGTATTCAGATATATTATATAATTTCTCTAAAGATTGCTATGTTTTTGGGGTATTTTTCGGTTGAGAATCTTTTTTATAACTGGAAATACAAAATTTGTGTGTTATAATTGAGTTTGTTGAGTTATATTAGGAGTCTATTCTGTTAATTGATTCACTTTCCGTTTAAAAACAGTATAATCCCCTGTTTCACGCCGTGAATACAGTTGAATACAATAATCTGTCCAACTGTAATCCCATATTTCACGCCATGAAAACAGTCGAATACAACAACTGATTAGCTGAACTTCCCTGGTTCATGCCTATTTTTGCTACTGTATTCATGAATATAGTAGCTTAAATACATCTAATACATCTTATAATAATAGAAAGCGTATTTACTATCCGTAATATAGCAAATGGTATCTATAGATAGCTAATTACCACTAAAAGATAGTGCTTTATGAAAATTTCTCTTCAAAAAATAAGGTCAACTTGACATACCTAAAAAGCCCAAATTGACCCATAAAACAACGTAGAAATGACACTAGGTATCCACTCTTAAGGGCTGTTATATAAGAATTAGCTAATACGTCATGAATTTCAACTTTTCAATTCAATTTTTCGGGATAAAAATGTCCTGAAGTTATTATTTTTAGTTTACAATTTCACGACAAAATAAATGCCGCCAATCTCTAAATAGCACCCTAATACACTTGCCCCAAAACAACCGTCAAGAAGTAGATGGAATTCTCCGTTAGTTTGACTTGAATTGGTAATGCGCAGGTTGCGTTATTAACTGTTACTCAACCCTAACTGAACCAACCGAGTTTTACCCAAGCAACTTTAGAGGTCAGGGCATGACCTGTTCATCTCAAGCCAATTTCGTACTAAGCCAAAATCAAATTCATCCTCTTAAAAGCTCTAGGCTTAAAGTTGCAAGAATCCCTACAATTAGATCAGGCCAAATAACTGATGCTTAATACACAACACCAATAGTTATTGGCTAAAAGAAGAATCTGCATGGTAAGAGACCGATTCACAACTGCCCGCATAAAGTACATCCCAATAAGGTCGAGTGCAACTATTTTGAAGAGCCCATCGGCAATCCTACGTTGAGAAAATTACTGTAGGAGTGTTTCTCCCAGTTCACAAAATTTTCTTTGAAGGAATTATGAAATGATGAAAGAGCTCGGTCCTTTTTCTTTTCGGCCCTCCCCTTCTCCTGATTTACTTTTTGGTGCGTGTGTGTAGTGTGGGGGGAGGATGAAGGCACTAATGAAGTATGACGTATTGTCAGTGCAACCTTGACGCTCACCAATTCCTTTGCATTTTCCGAAGAACACAAAGAAAACAAAACGAGTGAGCCCGTTATCTTTCTTTTGAGCGCGTGGGAGGGGGGTGGGGGGAGGGGGGAGTGTGTTTCTGGAGGGACAGACGGCGAGGAAAGTGTTTCAAGAAGTAATAAGGATAATGCATGGCTTGGAAGCAAGCAACAGTTCAGCTACTACTCTGTTGAGCAAGTGTGTATTAATCAATCTAATTAACTATGCAATAAAGTGCCTGCTATATGGCAGATAAATCACACAAGTAAATCCTCCCCTTTCTGATTCATGTACCATATGGCACATACTGTACCTAGCGACATTAGGCAAAAAACATAAGCACCCGATACTTGCACAAAACATAGTAATTTATAATGGTTAAACAATAAACTGGGGTATATCTTTGTAAATGTGCATGTAAGAACATGTCACATTAGGACTAGGTTGATGTAAATACTAGATGTGATTACGTTTTCATCCCGATTGATCTGTGGTCTCAACCTACCTCAAACAGAACTCTCCTAAAATACTTTGATAGCGAATACTGTTGTGATGAACCGCATAAGCAATATACGTGAAAACTTATCGAGCGCGACTATAATGTATGCTGTTGTCGACAAACCACACTTTCATAGACATCCGTAAAAACCATGGAGATTGTGTCAGACAGCATACATCCTGACATCATCTAATACGGGTCTGAACATGGTCACACCACTGCCATCCTAAGATTTATGTTTAATTAGAATTTATCATTTCTTTACTATCAAATAAATATATTGGGAGCTTTCATTAAGAAATCGAAGGCGATCCCGTAGGTTCTCGTCCAGGAATTGTCAGAGGAATTTCCTCATGTTCCAGGTAATGCCAGACCACACTTTTACCACCGTGCAATATAAGAGAGGCCCACTTGGGGTACCATGATACAAGATCTTAAGTTAGAACTCATCAGGCGCAGTGAACCACGGAAGGTTCCACAAGTGCTTGTTCGTCTATTGTTTGAATATATACGCATCTCACCAACATATCGCGGTATAACCTTACAACATATCGCGGTATAACTTTATCGTAAGTTATGTTATCATAGTACTCATAGATTATATTGACGGGTAACGTAGCAATTATTATTTTATTTGATAGATTTAGTTGGTAGGTAAAAGGAATTGGTAGGTGGACCAAATTAAGTGAATAGGACTCGAAGAGGAACTTGTCCCAGATCCAGTGAAAGGGGTTGAGAACTTACCTGCAGCAAGCATTAACAAACCTATTCCAAATTCAAGACAGAGAACATACCTCAAATCAGCTTCCATACCTTTGTCCAAAAGGATTGTTGGGCAGCATATAAAATGATCCAAAATACTATTTGTAACCAGATGGCTTCTGGTTAAAACCTTTGTCTAGCATCCAGACCTCACACTAAAGAAGTGAAGAGGATTAGTTAGGAATATGAACAAAGGTTAGTCATGATGTTACTGTCCAAAAGCCGACCATTCTACAGATCTGTACCAACAAAGCCAACAGATATTGTATATTAGATCCTAAAATACCTATGTATTTTATAAGTTGTAGGGACCTATATATTTCCATCATCTATAGGGATATAAAAGACCATATACCAAAGCTACAACAAAACCAAGTTAATACAAAGTACCTATTTGAAAGGAAACAGGAACCTGGTTGATCACCTACACTGATTTGAGCGCAACTTCATTTACAAGTTTACCACATGAGTCATGTTCATTACCCTCAATGAACTCTGTTTCGCTTGTGATAATAATCGTCTCGGTAATCTTCAAAGGAGCCGCTGCTTCTCCGTCTCTTGTTGTCATGTACCTCATCGCTGGAGTCTCTTGCATGGGACCTAGAGTACTTTGGATCATGCCCAGAACCCCTTTCTTTGAATCGTGCTTTCTGGTGCACAGGTGAACTAGGTTCTAGTGCAGAACTTGGGTGATGCTTCTGATGAGATTCTCTTACATGAGAATCGACTCTGTGTTTACGATCAGAGGCTTGATAGTGATCCAAAGTAGAATCACACTCATGGCGCTTTCTTGAGTCCCGATTATGGTGTTGATGACTTTCTCTCCTTCGCTTACCAGAACTACTAGGAAAACCATCAGTGACAGAATTGGACCTGTCAGAGTGACGAGGCACCTTATCTCTACTAGCAGATGAGGAACGAGGACTTCTCTCCCTTCTTTTCTCAACATGGAGGTGCTTTCTCCGTGTTCTTCGAACAAAGCTGTCCCCAGAACAACTTGTACTTGGTTCCCTCTCCTTATGGAACTTTCCTGATGCTTCTCGATCATTTTTTGGGTAATGCTCCTTTAAGTTAGACTCAGCCTGACAATGTTGCCCACTGTACAATGATAGTGTTAATTAAAATATAGTTCAATCAGACAATTGCTACATGAAAAAGAAAGCAAATTAAAAGAAAAGTATAAAACTATAGAAGGATCAAAGATGAGAAGATGGAGGCAGGATAAAGGCAAAAGAAGTATGACACGTACTGAAATGAAACTCAGTACTATTATGTGTTCTAAATTCTCAGCTTATTCCAGAGAAGCACAAAGGAAATAGCAAAATTCTTCAAAGGGAAAGCACTAGAATATTTGGATACATAAGATTAAAGTGGTCAAGAAGAACCCTGTTTGACCATACTTCGAAGGGAAAGAATGCACTTTTTTACTTCAGCAGGAAAGCATCAAGAGTCGGACACGAGGACTGATGTTAATGAATTCAATATTTTATGACATTGAAATGCGGAGTGAATTTGTCAAGGTTGAAAAATCTAATTTTGGAAAGTAGCAACGTTTTTAAATTGTATAGTTGGCCTTTGTCAAACCTGCTTTTAACTGTAAAATCTGACAAGATGACAAACAAATCATTGGATTTTAGAAGACTGGACGGAGCCTTAGCCAGCAAAAATAAGGGATATACTTGGGAGCAATCAAAGGAGAGAGATAATTGACTGATCGATATTCTACAGTAATCTTGAAATCAGCAATTCCAGAAAACAAATGATACGTCAAAGTACTAAGAGACATAACATATATTCGCAAAACATATTGTTCAGATGGTCCCATTGTTGCTACTTGCTTGTAATAAGTGTTTAAGTGATCATGTGACAAAAGGAAAACTATGCATGCTACGACTAATCAGCAACCATTTGAGATGTGATAATTCAGAGTTTGAGAGGATCGCGAGGGAGAGGAACAACGGGACTGATTTAACCATTTAGCTAAAGATGACAAACCGAATCATATCCACTCCAAATAATGCCTTACGTCTAGCTAAGATCCAAGAGCAATCTATGAAATATAAAAGTTGGAAGGCTACTTCCTGTTTTAGATATTGAAAGAGCGAAATAAACCTGTGCCAATCACACTCTACGACTGATTTATGTAGCAAACTTACCTTCCCAGTTTTTCATTCTGAATTCTGCATTTATCTTCCGCAAGCTGGAAGCCCATGTACTCATATTGGTTCAATGGCAGATCATCCCTGTTTCCAGCTGGAAGTGCCATACCACCCATTCTCATGATTCCTCTGCAAAAAGTTTCCAAGGTCTTAAAACTCATTTGGATCTTAAAAGGATATAGGACATTCATTTAGATAAATGACAAGAAGCAACCTTTGAGCTACAAAAGTTCATCAAACACATCCACCTAAAGAACTACTTACCCAGGTAAAGGCACGCCACCATGCATTGATCGCATATATGGAGCAGTAAAAGGTGTTGGAGGAACCATATAAGCATATGGAGCATTTCCGGCATTACCATACATATTTGCAAATGGCCTCAATGTGGAAAAAGTATTGCTATTCCAGTAAGGTGATGGATAGCCAGGAAACCCACCCGTAAGCATGGGATTTCCTGATTCAAGCACAACCACAGCAAAAAGATTTCAGACATCGTATTGCATATGATGTGAATTAAACAAACAATGGGCATACCTGTCTGAAGCATCGGATTTGGATTGGAAGCAAAAGCGCAGTCTCTGATGAGATGATCAGGAGAACCACACATGTAACAGTTACGGTCCTAAGATCAATTAAGATAAACTATCATCAGTATATGCCTACAGGCCCTACACTACAAAGCAGCATGACTAATTAAACAATCATTTTTCTTTCCCAATTAGTACATAATGATTAAATATCTTTCTCTGGCTATAACTGATCAATTAAACCAAAAATGTTGTATAACTTCAACATTGCCAGGATATCAGGAACAATGTATTTTAATACAAATTAGTTTCAAGCCACAGGAAAAAAAAAAGTAGAAATGTTTCTTGATTCTAGAACCAGATGTTAGAAGTAACAGCAAGGACGATAGTTTTACCTTTTTTTCCAGTAAGAAGGCAAAAGTAGAAAAATGTCCGGACTCGGGATCCACAAATCACTAATAAGAACATGCTTCTTTTTTAAATAAGCGAAAAGGCAAAAGTTAAAGTAACACCAGCAAAGTAAATACACTTCATCCAATAAAGCTTAACATAGCCAAGTCGAAAGTGCGGGGAGCCTTAGCGTAACTAACAAAGTTGTTGCCATGTGACCAGGAGGTAACGGGCTCGAGCCGTGGAAACAACCTCTTGCAGAAATGCAGGGTAAGGCTGCATACAATAGACCTTTGTGGTCCGGCCCTTCCCCGGACCCGCGCACAGCGAGAGCTTAGTGCACCGGGCTGCCCTTTTTTATAGCCAAGTAGAAAGTAAATGAAGATATCAAGAAAGAACATGCATTTATACGCAAAACATGGGTGGATGTTTGTGAAGGCATTACAAATAACTCAAAATTAAGCCTAAAAATCACTGACCATGCTCAGCTTGAAGTAAGACTAGCCCCTCTTTAAAGCATATAGGTCAATTTCATCTTAAAATCAAAGAAAAATGGAAGCAAGAACCCAAGATAAGATACAGAAAAGCTTCAGCTGTTATAGTTTTATAATGGTTAGCACACATGTCCACATGAAAATACCATAAATCAGTAGCTAATTATACTTGATAAAAGTTGCATAATACCTTTTTAACTCTACCAGCAGGCAGAAAATTCACGTCCCCGCCTGCATTAAGACATATAAGCAACAAAAGATTTGTTACTAATGAGAAAAAATCAGCATTAAGATAGCAAAAGATCCAGAACGAAATTCAGAATGCCAGTACCACCAGTAAACCCTACCTCTTGTGTCACACCACTGGCCTTTATTCTTCTTGATGGAAGAATCAGCTGTAATCAAATAGTCCGCAAGTAAGTACATCAAAACCACTATACGGAGCAATAAGCCAGGAGACAAAGCAAATATAGGTACTTTAAAAGTAAAACAAATCTCAACCTTTTACTGCATGCAGTGATACAACTTGTTTTAGTCAAAAGACAATCAATTTGAACCGTGCTTATTTCCTTTTTACATTTTTTTATCACAACATAGTAGGTGGGGACGAAAACCTAAAACATCCAATGCTCTAGAGCAATGCAAAAAGTTACTAAACAAAACCAGCTAAAAGGATACGACAATGAGTACAATAACATTGAAGCTCAAATCTATGTAAGATAGTGATTGGAAAAGAAAATCAGATTTTTCTTGAGTAAAGATTACAAACCAAAATTGACTTTGCTTTTCTTTCATTGTGAAGTGGGGACAGGGGACATTGGATATTGAGATGTTCACCATTTAAAAGAGAGCCATATGAACATTTCATATGCAGAAGAAATAGCTACAAAAACTAGTCAGTTATGAGCTAATACCTTCATCCTGAACATGTGAATGAAGCAAATTAAGAGGCTTGCTTTCACCCTGACGATCTTCTGGGTCATCAGGTACACTTGGAAAGTTCCAATGATTAGCATATCGACCTCTTCCTCCATCCATTTGTTGCATTGTCCTTGAATTCTTCCGAATAAGTGAGTCATAAAAAGATTCTGCCATTACTTGATTGGATCCTTTTCCAGTAGCTGAGGGTGAATGAGGCATCTCTGGTTCCCGTTGTACAACAGTAACCGCACAGGAAACATCCTTCATCTGAATTCCAGATTCACCATCTGCATTGAGAAGCAGGTCAGTCAGCCCTCATTCACTAGCAGTCTCTTTTCAAGATTCAAATTTCTCATATAGCAATCATTTTCACCTGGAGCATATTTGCGTAAAGCATTTTCTGACCCAGTGACAACCATCTGAGATTCAAGAAAATGCTCAATCGCTTGCCTGAGAGATAAATTTGGTAGCAGATTTTCCACTTTACATCTACTAGAAAGGCATTTTGGGCACATCGCCTTTTCAAGAAGAACTAGACGAATGCCTACAGATACCCAGAAAAATTAGAAGTATATTCTCAATGATGAATATATATCCAAGAACAGAAGATGCTTAAATGATAAAAAAAGGCAAATCGCAAAGGTGATGAAAATGCGCACATTTCAAAAGAAACAAATGCATGATCGAAGCAGGGACAGATGAATCGATGAAATTGCTCAATAATGCAGATACTACTCACATTTCTCACAAAAACTGTGCTGGCAACAAGGTATCATCACAGCATCCTTAAAAAAGGTGTTGCAGAGAGGGCATTTCAGTTCTGCTGGCAAATTACAATTGGGCAATGCTGGAATATTGGGGTTTACCACCCTTCATTCATAAGACAACAAACATCAGCCGTGCTTATGGGCTAAATGAATGACTAAAATAGAAGGTAGAGAACACAATACTTTTGCAATGTTGCCACATCTCCAGTTTTTGGTTCAGGTAATTTTGCATCATTCTTGCTTTGATTAGAACCTGAGACAAATTCAACCAATTTTTTTTTTTTTAAAAAATAAATAAAAGAAAATCACCTTCTAAGATATACATAACACTAAGACCAACCTCTTTGGATAGCTTGACTTAGGTCACTTGAATCAAGCTTTTGATTCTGAAACCTGGACGAAAGGAGAATCGCATTAATTCCTTTTTTATGAATTAAGGTGTTATCATTAAAAAGGCATCAAGAAGCTACATAAGGAAACAAAGGGTACAAAGAGAGATGACTGTTAGCTCTGCTAATACAAAAAAACTATGCTAGGATAGGATCAGGGAGCTAACAAAGCTCAAAAAATAGTCAATGCTAGTTACAGGGGTCATGTAGTTCCAACTAAAAAGACTAACTAAACATCTAGCCTTGAGAAAACATGCTGGAGTTGAGACACCATCAAAACATCTGCGATTTCTCTCTGTCCAGATACACCAAGAAATAGGTGCTGGGATCATTTTCCATATCCTTCTACTGGCCTTATCAACTTTCCACAAAAACCAGCTGTCATTGGCTTCCCTGACTGAGGGATGACCCGTGATAATCCAAAAATGGAGTATCACATTAATTACACCAGACATGTTTCATGCAAAAAATAAAAATAAAAAGATCACATGGTCCCATTGACATGATTGCAATTGAAATGAGAATTTAAGGCAGAAGCAAGAAGGATGAGGAATTAGAGAAACAGTCAACGCTTGAAATTAACACCATGTATCACAAATCAGAAGGGAATGAGAAAGGTTGTGCATTTGCATGGTTTGGCATAACCAAGGGAAATGCATTTTTAGTGATACAACCTTTGGAACCAAGATTTAATATCAGCAGAAGCAAGAGAAGGTGCACATTCCCCATCTACTTGAGCTTTAAGCCAAAGTTACCGAGAAAGGTACCTTTACTGACACATACCTAGTGAATTGACCAAG